CTCACCCTGTGCCCCAGAACCCCACAGCCTCACCCTCCTGCCCCCACAAACCCACAGCCTCACCCTGCTGCCCCCACAAACCCACAGCCTCACCCCCCTGCCCTGCCCCAGGGATGCTGAGTTGGGGTTCCCGTGTTCTGCAAGCCCTCCCCAGCCTCCTGCACCCCCAGGCCCAGGGAGCTGCTCCAGGGATCCCATCCCAAGGGTCACAGCTTGTACAATCCCCAAATTAACAGCAGCATCACCCCACACTATATGGAGAAAGCAGGATTCCCCTCCAAGCTGCTGCCCCAAAAGCCCCCAGCCCTCAAACAGCAAGAGGAGACAAGAATCAGGTTTGAGGGTGAATTTTATTGGAAATAAGGATGGGGTTGAGGGTACAGACCATTCCCAAAAATACAAGGGGAGAGGGGCTTCCCATGTGAGTCAAAGTCCTCGCCCACCTTAAAGCCAAGCTGGTTCTCCCCAGGAACTGCCACTGCAGAGGGAATGAGGTGGGACAGGGAAGCAGGGAGGTGGAAAGGACACGGGATTTGGACAGGTAAACCTGTGTAGAATGAAGCAGAGGAGATGGCACAGGGGGTGTGGTGTGTCGGCCTCCTCAGCAAAGCCTCAGCTCATCCACAGGGGCCCAAGCCCACCCCAGAGCCATCTCCCCTGTCTGAAAGGGAAGATGTTCCCTTATCCCAAAATACAGAAATCAGGACTCTCTCCAGGAGGAGAAATGCAGAAAAAAAACCAAAAAGCATGCAAAAAAAATTTTTTTACAAAAATGAACACCATTCCCCAAAGCACCAAAAAAGGGTGAGCTAAAGGAAGGGGAAAGGAATTTAAACATAGAAGGGAGAAAACCCAAAAGCTCAACTCAAAACAAAAATAATCCAAAGTAACCAACTACGAAAAAAAAATTACAGTTGTACATCTCAGCAGCAAAGCTGTCAAACCAAGCAGGTACAGGTGAGTGTAGGGGGTTTGCAGAGCAGGATGAGGAGGAGGGAGACATGGAGAACAATCACTTCCTTATTTTCCATCCAGAGGTGGGCTGGGGGGTCAGAGTTGAACCAAAGCCCAACAGGGTTTGTGCAGCTCCACCTGGACTGGGTCCCTCAGGGTTTGTGGACTCAGGGAGGGGGATCAGAGGGATGGCACAGGAAAAGCCTTGGCTGTGTGATGCATCAAGGACTGAAAACCATTTTCCCCAAAGCAGCTTTCCCAGGTGGGGATGGATGGTGTGGAGCAGCCCAGCTCCCAGCCCAACACTGCATCAAACCCTGGACTGCAGGAGGGGGGATAATGAATTTAAGGGAACATCATTCTTCATTGAAGGGGACCCTGAACACTGGGAATTCACCCTGAAATCCAGACCTCCAGGGCATGAATTTCAGGAATAAGATTTTTAAAAGATTCAGTTAAAAAATAGATGCATTTCTTTAAAAAAGAAAGAAGAAAAGTAATCTCAGGCCAGAGTGTTTTCTAGTGACCCCTTCCCCACCTGCCCAAATTTAGCCAGAAAAATTGTTATTACGCCAGATCTGCTGGCCACATAGACATCCACACATTCATCATTGATTTAAAAATATATAATATATATAGAGCACACATACACACACACAAATATATATTAGAAAAAGAAAAAAAAATCCTTCAGAAAAACTCAATTATTTAAAAAAAAAAGAAAAAAAAATAAACAAAACCAAATTCCACAGCCGGTGCGTTTATCCGTGATCATGTACAGTAGAAGCCAGAAACCCCTCCTGCTCCCCTGGCTCCCCTGGCTGGGAGCTGGGGGAAACACATCAGGTTTTCACAGTGGATTTGTCAGCAGAGAGAGAACTGCTCCTCCCTCCTCCCACACAGAAAGGGCTTTAATTTATAGCGAGTTAATCAAACCTAGGAAACACGAAGTTACAAAGTCCATCATATATAGACATCAAATGTACAACAGCCCCAGGCCAGTCCCTGGGCTTTGGCTCTCGCTGGCACCCGCAGGGGTTGGGGACAGTTTGGGACGCCAGGGGTGCGAGTTCAGCCTCTGGAACGGTGTCACAGTGCGAGGTCTGACAGCAGCTCCAGGCTGGAGCAGATGGAGCAGAGACTTCTCAGGAGCCAGGCAGGGTGGGATGGAGGCAGCCAGGGCTGAGGAAGGCAATGCCCAGGGCAGGGATGTGACCCCCCAGCCCACAGGGAGGACAGGCAGCTGCTGTGTCTGCATCCCCTTGTGCCCACCAGGGAAAGGAGGGATGCTGGGTGAAGCCCTGCAGCTTGTGGCACAGTGGGCTCGTGGAAAAATGCCTTTTTCTCCCTCTCCTCAAGAGAGCAGCATTGACTGAGGGAGAGGGATGCCCGGGCTGGTGCTGCCTCAAAGGGTCCTTAAGGTGTTGAGCCAGGCATGAAAACATTCAAACATTGCTCTGGTGTGAGCAGCAGCCCAGGGAGCTCCACGAGCCCCTAAAGCTGTGTGAGCTCCTGGGGACAGAGAGCCAGGCACAGAGAGAAGGCAAGTGAGACCAGACTCCAAAGAAGGGGCTTGGGCAGGCAGGAGAGGAGTGGGAGAAGCACAGCAGCACTGGTTCTCTCTGTCTTCCCCTGACAGCAAAGAATCACAACCCCCTGTGCTGTGCTCTGGGTACTGGGGAGGGGAGGTGGCCTCGGGCACCCTCTGCTCCTCTCAGGGACCTCCTGAGCCTTCGGAGTCCTTGGCTTGGCTGGGAAGGTGCTGGCTTCAAAAGGCTCCTCCTGCGGGATTGTTTTTTCCTCAGGGCAAAGAGAAAAAGAGATTTTGATGGGGCCAGAGATGCCCCCAGGCCGGGGGGGTGGATCTGTGATTTGTGCAAAGCACCCTGAACTGGAGTCCTCGCTCGCTCTCCTGCGGGAAGCCAGGATGGAGGGACTGCAGGGAGCTGGGAGCTGGCAGTTAGGAGTCTTCCCCGAGGATCTCTGTCACAAAGGAGGCCATGTCAGTCTCTTTGGTGTCGTGCAAGGTGAAGAAAGGGTGTTCCTGCCAACGAGATCAAAGAAAACGTCAGCTGACACCACAGACCCCCGGGGATGTCACACAGCTTAAGGTGGATTCCACTCTCCTCCCCAGACTCCCACAGACACCATTCTTCAGCTAAAACATTAACTCTGTCATTTCTCAGTTCAGCCCCAGCAGGCCGTCCCACCTTGGCAGCTGTAGTGCCATCCTTCCAGGTCTGAACTCTCCCAGAGCAGACAGGACAGAGGGAGAAAACACCTGGAAACCCTGACCTTAACACCCATGAAATCAACACAGCCTTCCACACCTCTGACACACTACACCCATCCCACTCCATGCCTGAAAATCACCAAGTTGTCCCATTTCCCTGCTGGACCACTGAGTTGAGTTTCAAAACTGGGAATAAAGACCAGCAGAAGCAGCTCTGCACTCACCATAAGTTCTAAATAGTTCATTCGCTCAGCTGGGTTCTTCCTTAGGCTGGAAGGAAAAAAACAAAGGGACAGAAAGGCTGTAGGATCTTTTGCTGAACATGGTTTGTCATAGGGGATCTCCCCTTCCCATGGGCTGCACCCATCCCTCTCCCTCCCTGCCTGAGCAGGTTTGAACCACCAGCAAAGCAGCCAGGCAGGTAACTGGGGAAGGACAACTCAGTGTTTTGCCACAAAAAGCACAAGCCAAGCAGCTCTGCAGCCTGCCCCACACAGAGAACAACTGGCAAGGAGATGATATGGTTTCCCAGCAGCTGCAGGGCGAGCTTGCCCTTGCCTGGCAGCTCCAGGGAGCAGGGGACACCCTGGGGGAGCAGCATCCCACAGAACCACACAGCAGCTTTCACCCAGACGCTGCCAGGGGGTGCTTCTGGTTTCGCTGCCACTTTGCCAGAAAACACCAACATTGCAGCAGCAGTGACAGGAAAAGGGGAAGAGAAACCTCTGCACCTTCCAGCCAGCCTGTGTGAGTCAGGCTGAGAGCAAAACCAGTTTGGGCAGCGCTTCCTGCCATGCTGAGCACCAGGTACAGCGAGGAGGGCAGAAATGGGCTAATAAAGGACAGCCAAGCCAGCCCCACACTCCACTGCAGCCCCCACGGATCAGGGCTGCCCCTCAGGCAGCCTGGGGGAGCCAGCAGTCCCTGCTGGAGCCTCACCACTGTGCTGTGAAGTCCACGAACTCCTTGGAGAAGCGTTCGGGGGGCAGCTGGGGCGAGGGCTCCTCCACCACCTGCTTGAGCTGCTGGAAGGGCGTCCCCCAGGACTCGTACGGGAAGCGGAGAATGGCCAGCTCGATCTGGGGGCGAGGC